CAGGATGAATAAGGATCAGCAGTGCTACAAACCACTTACAGCTCTACTTCATCAGCCAGGTCTAATGAGATGTCTGCAGATTAGGGTAGCTCAGTTTAAACTGTCCACATGTTTCAACTAGTAATTCAAGCCATCCTGTAATGCTGACATATCTAGCACAAAAAAAAAGGAAAAAAAAAATCCCTCTCCCATGGTAGAACTCTCTTCAGGTCATACAGGACAGGATCTTAAAAGGTTCACATCAATTCAGAGCCAAGGCTCAAACACATCTGTGCTGCTACAAAAACCAGTATGTACCAGCCCCCAGTATGCAGCTGAAAAGGAGCTCACAGCTGAATCCTGGAAATGTAATTTCCTCTGCTTTGGCACTTTATTAATTACATCGGATACTTCATACCAGTCTAGTGTCACTTAAACTTTTCTGGGTCTCCACCTAGTTGCCATTTTTCACACCTGGTTATACTCCCTTGCTAAACTTTTACTAATAACCCTATAAAAGCAACACAGTTCCCAGTGCTATCTGTAGACTATGAACTGTGCCGCATGAGTCACTGGCATCTCTCCTGAGGTTGAAAGGTTGGCAACCACAGAGAGGTGAGTTCTAACCTAGAAGGAAGTATGTGTTCAGGGACCTCAGAGGCCATCCCCACATTATTTTGACCCTACTTCAACAACCATTATGGTTCCAAGTTACCCTGAGAGCATAATTCATATGCATACTTTGAAAGTGGCTAATCCCTTGAGTGGTTGCCTGGCCCCAGTAAGATGGAAAAGAGAAAATTACAGGGCTGCCATGCCTGGGCTTTGTGAGACACTGGCTCTGTTTCTAGTAAGGTATATTGGTCTTTGGCCATTCTCTAGCCAGAGAAACACTCCCTGAATGTACACAGTTCTGATACATTAAGCTGACTGTTGATCGTGACACAACACAGGTATTTCTCCCTGAGAAAGGCAAAGGACAGCCTGTTGCTTGTTCCATACACATTAGTTTCCCAGCAAACTCCTACCCCATTTCATGGTGAGCATATCACGCAGCTGGATACCTCCAGGCAGTCATAGAAGAGGAGGGACAGACACACGTGATGGACAATCTGCAGGTGTTGGGGGCAGCCTCCATTGTTCAAGTATGCAGTGATTATTTTGCTTCATTTTTGCCGAAAATCTACTTACGGACATGTATTTGTTTCTGTTTTAGTGTCACAGTCCTTTCTTCAGACAAAAGCTTACACCATTAGGCACCATCTGCTATTTTAAACAAGATTTTACATTAAATTCAGAGCAGAGCAACAGCTTCATTAATTTTTCCATCTGCTCTGGTTGGGCTTGTTGGCTTCATGTAACGTTTAACTTTCGTATGAACCCAAAATGCCAAAAGCTAAACTGCGCTCAATTTTGTGCTTCACAATCTGACAGGGGATAATATAGTTGTTTGCCTCAGATTTGGTAAAAGAATAGGGTAGGCTCTTGGTCACTGTTCAGCAACTATTATTTTTAACTTAGGAAAAGAGGGAATATTAGGAAATGCAATTTTCCAAACACGCCACTGTGTGTTGGAGGCAGCCATGGGACCACTCATCGATGTCACAGTCTCACAGGCCAAGCTATGAGGTGCGAGGAATTTGACAGTATTTGTATTTCTAGGTAAATCCGCATGCCTTTAAGCAATTTAACTTCAACTTTTGGTTGAGCTTGTTAAATCTGTGTCTAAACCTGGCAGGTTGGGAGTTATCCCATCCAAGCAGATGACAGTCGAAAACTATCAACTACCTTTTCCCAAGCAAAAGGAAAGCAAATTATTGACAGCTGGTATATAAAATAAAATAAAATAAACAGACAGCAGCTAAAAAAAAAAATATCCTCAGGTCTCCAAAAAAGGAGATCATGAAGCTGTAACATAACATGGACTTAATTACTGTAATGTATTTCCAAAGGTTCTTAACATACAAGCTGTGGCAGTCCCAGACCTGTGAAGTGAGGGGAGAGCAGATGACAAGCCAAGGTATTTACCACAGCAGCTCTCAGTCAGCAAGAAACCAAACCACAGAGGCTTGCTGTCTCACCAGTGACAGAGCAGAGCACTGTCAGGGGATGTTCCAACCTGTTTCCAGCATACATCCACCTCTGTGTGGATGGCAAGGAGTCTGGTTTTGAGGTTCAGTCAGAAACACTTTGAACTTTGAGGTTTTTATATGGATAAATATGGAATCAGCATCCATGCTTTGGATGATGGCTTTTATTGCTCTAAATGGCTCATTCCAAAATAGAGCTTAAACAATTTATTTTCCTGAATGTAGGGCACCTCCCAAGCTCACAAGGTCCAGCAAACTTTTACTAATCTTTAATATGTTAGCAGTAAAAGCTTTAGTTGTGGGATGATCTAAACATATGGATGGGATGTGGATATCACAAATGGACGTACAGGACTGCAGGCAATGAAAAGAGAAAAGACGAGATGCTTGTGTAGCACGTACAGCCTGAAAAGCTGTCTAGAGAAAAAGGCAGCAGGCTAGAGTAAAGTGCCTCATAGACCAGTCACTATGCAAGGGCTGCCAATCACCATGTGCTTTTCTGTACCATGTCCAAACACCAGCAACAAGAATATCTTAAGAACATGATCAGCTGTTACATTGCTATGAGCCTCCACCTGATTTCATGATCCTGGCAAAACATTAACTTCAGATTCACCTATGTTGCTCTCCAAGACAAACGTACTTCCCAGATGGCAATGCTCCAGGCACATATGTGCGTCCAGTGAGGAAGTTTATAACAAGAACAGATTGTGCACTGTTCTAAAACTTACAGCCTGCCTAGCAAAGCAAAGAAAGCAGCACCCAACTGCTTGCTCCCCTACCTCCGACTGCCCATGGATAATTTTCAGTCTTCAACTTCCCAGTCCTTAACAGAAAAGCCAGTAACTGTTTTATCCCTAGTCCTGCAGAAAGCTACTTCTTCCAAGTCTAAGACCTCATGTTTTCCACAAGGAGATTTGACCAGCTCTTCCTCTGATTTCCAGTCTGTGTCAAGCAACACCAAATATTTAAATAAATAATTGCAAAAACTGCTACCTTAGTTAAATAGGTCAGCCCTTGTGATAAAAGGGCTGTGGGTCATGGATATTGCACAGATCAGTAGCACCTCTTCACCAAAAAACCTAGTAATACAGATACAGGACAGCAAGGACAGCAAATAGCAGCAATTTATCTTCTTTAAACCACTTTTTTAAACCACTCCTGTAGCACAACCATACAACATTATTGCTTGGATTTTAAATGTTGATTAATCCTCATTCATAATAAACAACTTATTTCCCCTGGTGTAGCTCATCTGACCTATGTAAATGTGCAAGAGGTATTAGATCAATTAGATGTTAACAAGTTACCCAGGACTGAATGGCCATCATCCGGGAGGTTCTGAAAGGAAGTGAGACATCGAAGTGCAGAGGTGCCAGGGAACTTCTGTCACTATCATTACAGTCACTGTGCCAGATGACTGGCAGACTGCTGCCCATGTCACTCTCATCCACAAAAAGAGCTGTTGAGGGAATCCTGCAAGTTACAGACTGACGAGTCTGATCTCTGTCCAGTAGAGGATATAATAAAGAGAATTTTTGAAAAGTCTTTGACAATGTTAAATACCTGAAGTTACAAAAGAAGCTAATGCTGACAAGAGATTGGATAAAATAACCTATTACAAGGTGAAAGGTGGTTAAAGGGCAGGAAGGAAAGCACAAAAACACCTAACCATTATGACTTGGTGACGAACTGATTTATTAGTCAAATGGTATTTAACTACCAAATAAACTGGACATATTTAGTTTTATGAGAAAAAAAAAATTAAGCTGTTTATTAGCTAAAACAAAACAAAATCAAGAGGGCTACTGCATTTTAATCTCCTGAACTGCCACTAGTGTGAAGAGTTCAGTATTTCTGGAAGTTAAACAAGTTTGATACCAATCATTACATGAATAAAAGTGATTAAGTTATTCTAAATTTTATCGTTACTACCTTTATTTCCACATTTCATTTCAAGCACCAACAGAAACCAGCACAAAAAATATAAAAACTGAGAGAAAAACATGTATTTTATTTGTATTGAGGCAAAAGGAGCTCATCTCATTTAGATCAAAGAAACGGAGAGCAATTGATTTAATAAAGTTTTTGAGAATTTACAGAAAACAGAAAAAAAACCTCAAGCTTATCACACCAGTATATGATTGAATTTCGTATGTCAAAACTCTCTCTCTTCCTTTAGACTTGGCACAATTTTTTATTGCCCACTACCACATTTCACACCTTTACTTGTCAAAATGTCATATTACCCATGTAAACATCTGTTTTATGTGTAAACTTCAGCAAGTAAATGGGAAAGCCTACTAATTTCTCCACCCCAAAAAAATCAAGTATGAACTAAATATCAAAATTAATTACATCGTATTCTATATAATACTGTTTCAACAAGAAATAGCGTGTTGAATTCATAACCAAAAGGATGCAGAAACAAAGAGCAGATGTGCAGTGCCATGCATTAATGTAAAAACATTATAAGGCAATAATAAAAAAGGTAAATGTATTTTTTCTAAAAGTGTACTCGCCAAGACAAAAATCAAGGCTGAACCCTTAGTCAGTTCATTTTGGTAGTGTAGGATTTCTTCTTAGTTCAAGCTAAAAGTGCTAACTTTTGAGCATATTCATCTGTGTTTGATAATAGATACTTTTGTCAAAAAATACAACCTGTGGATTTAAATTCTGTGCAATAACAGATTTTTCACTTTTTCAGTTCCAATTCTTTATGTAGAAATAAAGAAAAACTGTTCCCAAAGAATCAAGTAAGGTAAGTGGGAAGAAATACTTGAAATGAAATTACTCCTAAAACAAACAACACATGAACAACAATATCTCTGCAAGAAAGAAAAGTTCTGCAGCCTAAGTCAAAAGACCGAGTTAATACTATTTTATATGCTTTTTTGTTGCTTCTTTGTTCACTTCGTGCTCAAACCGAGTAAGCAAAAGTAGGCATACGGCAGTCTGGAAAGCCCGATATCAACAAAGATTTCCTTTATTGTTCAATGTGTCTTCATAGTGCAGAGCAGAATCAACCTCAACCATTTCTAAAGGAAACTGAAATCACATCTCAAAGACATTATAAATGATCTCAAAGTAATTATAGTATCACAGTAATCAAAATGACTGTTCTTTTTCCTCTAATTATAACTTAATTTAATCTCCTACCTGTCATTTTTACAAACTGCAGTTCACATTAAAACATTTGCTGATAACAAAAGCTTTTCTTTGAAAACAACACTGCTTTAGATCTAGTCAGGCAGCTTGTGCATATCAGAGCATCTGTCAAGAGAGATGTGGAAAAGGGTAAAGGAGAAAAAGCTGAAATATGGCTACAGTTAATCTGTGCCTTTAATGCACTGCAGAATCTCAGGCGGCACTAGAGACAGCAAGCTTCTTCAGATGATCCATAAATACTTGCAAGCTGACATCATCAGTAAGAATCGGTGCTCCAGACTCCTATAAAAGGAAATAAGAATTGATTATACTCATTGTGAAGAAGAAGCATTTTAAGGCACAATACATTCCATTCAATAAACACTTTATAAATTTAGAAAGACCTTAGAAGCATATCATTGCTGAAATTCTCTAACAAAAACCAGCAGCCTGTACATTTACATAAATTTTCATATGTTTACATAAATTCAGGCACAAGCCGCAACTACACTCTCTTCCATACTAATGCACATGGCAATGAGCTGCAGCACAGCAAGATATTTGCATCAACCATACAAAACTCCCGATTTTTGACAGTTGCCAAATACAAACTTACAAATTTTTAGAAGTAAATAAAACTTACATGCCACAGTTCCTGTTTCATTCCTACCTCAGTGAGGCAGGCACAGGTGAGAGAAACAGAAACAAGTCACACAACTAACAAATCAGTATCTGTCAGTGAAGCTCAGACGTATCAAAATGGTGAAAGGAAGAAACAAATCCATTAAGAGTCTGATTTGACACCAAGTGAAGGTCAACTATCTTCCTCAAGGAAAACTGGGCCAATTCTCTCCTACAGCTCTATGCCACCTCACAGAAACACTAAAAACAACATCTGAAGGTCATGCCACTGTAAAATCAGATCACAAAAGATTTGAAAAAAAAAAAATTTGGGTGGACTTTTGCAATTTACTTTTTAACCTCAGAAGTAATTTTCAGAAATCAAAAAAGTTCAAAATGGTCATCTTTTAACCACTATTTTTGAACAAATTTACAGTCTAAAGAAAACAGCAGTTGGTAATTCTGCAAATGTTACTATGTAACTTTCTTAAGTCCTTTGAAACCAACCTAGGTAGATGTAGGATGCAGGAAGAATTTCGACAAATCTCAAGAATTCAACCCTTTCAAAAGGTACTAAGCACCCATCCAAATGAAATCAGAGCTGCCTGAACTCTTCCAAAACACAGACATGAAAGTCTTACTGAGGATGCTTAGAACTGGTGCCCCTTTTTGATAACTGACCAAAAACACTTCTTGGTTAATGATCAAGGGACAAATCCAGAAACAGTGAGAGTTCTTGGATCACTACAACACACTTGACACAATACAGAGCCACTGTCAGGGAAGGCCCACTAAATTATCTCCCACTACGTTATCTATCAGCTGATGGTGGCAAGATGAGAATTAAGGATTTTCTGTTCCCAAGCCTGCCAAATGCTAAGCCTGAGCTCTCTTATTTAAGAAGCCACAAGGGAATCACAAGTAAATTAATCCCTGGTCAGGATATGATTTGCCACCTTGTGTCTTACACATGGAAGGACAGTACATCATACTCTAGTAAATAAACCACCAAAGGAGCTGATAGACCCCTAAGAAAGAGATCCCTCACAATGACTGCTAGTGGCAATGCAGGGTAACTAAAACCAATGCACAGACTCTACAGCTGAAGCTGAACACCTCATCCAACACATGCACGCAGGCAGCTGCTGTCACCACTACTACCACCAACAGCATTAATTTTACTCTGAAGTCTGGGACCCCTTCATTCTAGTAGGTAAGGCAGCAGAGTATTTTATTTGCTGGAGAATAAATTGAAAATGAGCAAGGTCACAATGTACAAAGTCTGAAAAGTACATAATAATTAGCTTTGATTTTTCACAGACCACCTAAATTTTGTTTTCTGTTCATTCAAAATTTTGATCTAAGGCATACAATGAGAATTTAAATTTAATTAACAGTGATTTGGTGACAGGTAGCCAGGCATTTAATAATATTTGTGCTATTGACCTCTTCTTTCATTTCAAATGCAAATTCCCCACAGTTACCATGACAAAGATGATTTTTAAAAAAGAGCTGAAAATAAAGGCATTCTCACATAAATGTCATATCCAATATAATCTGAAAATTTCAACTGCATCTTCAAAGACTAACCAACATAACAGAGCTGTATGAAAAGTTTTACCATTATCTTCTGAAAATGTTTTCTATACTATATAAGGCACCTACCTGCTAAAGTTTAAAAAAATGTTTACTTACATAAAAACCAAACTAGTCAATTCATCACCTCCTAAAACAGTTTCAGTGGTGTGTGAGTGCCCTCTTCAGGTCAATGTGGACTAACACATTTTTTCATAGACTTTCAGTTACGCACAAAATAAAATTACATTAAACAATCCAGGAAACTCATGAGAAAAATAAGAGCAAAATCAATTTAGTTTAAATTTTTTCCCAACAGTTGTATTTCTCATTTCATAATTTGTAATTGGTTCAACTGTATTCACAAAAAAACCTGCAAACACAGGAGGATATTATGTTGAGCACACACGCTGCGATGCCACTGGGGAGATTAACATGCCACTTCTTATGATACCCTAGAACTGAATGATTTTCAACATTAAAAGGGAAAGCTGTCTTTTCTAAGATGCATCAAGAGAATCTCACTTGTCCAGCATGAACACTTTTCCTATAGATCAGTTCAAGAATTGTTTTGTATTTGCATTTACATTTGGAGTAGTGGTTCATCTGCTTACTAATTAAATGAGCAGGAAACAGATGTCTTGTATTGTTGGAAATGTCAAAACTTCAAAAATTTCCAGGTAATGTTTAGATAAAAACAAGACCTTTCAAACTACAGGATTTGTGTGTGTGGTGTGGAAGAAACACGATGAAAAGAGACACTTAACAGATTACTGGTTAGGTTACCAACTTTGGAGTCAAGAAAGCTGGGTTCAAATTGTGCTGTCCCTGACTCAGTATAAAGCTTTAAAGTATTTTCACTCTGGATCTCAATGCTCTTCCATGACAGAAGTTTCATTAGAACCAGTACATACCTATGAAAACGTACCCTGATAAAACTTACCTGACAAAAATCACTGCCGTAAAATTGCTACAGAGCTCTCTCACTCATGACTTGAACAGTGTATGCCCTTTAGCAAAGTTCTATAAGAGTACAATTAATACATAGCTTCAACAGTCTGATGCTGTTACGTCTCTGTGAGAATGAATGCACCAGTGTTCACCCACAGCAGTGTTTCTCTTCCCATTATAAAAGCTGAATGTGGAAGCAGAATATGTAACTAGGATGCAATGTTCAAGAATACAAGCTGCTCCAGAAAGTTTAACTTTTGAAGTCCTACATGACTTCCTTCCTAAATACAAGATTTGAAAAACTGATTCCTGGCCACCTGGGCCACAAAAATTCTGGAAAATATCAGTACACTGGTACTGGTGTACTTTTCAGTTGTTGCTTGTAACTAACTTTAAAATTTATTTCCCCTATTGCAGAAAGGTCCCTTAGTCTTTATGTGTGGTAAGTGCTCTCATTCTAAGGAATTTGAAGGTATCTAAGAAAGACGGCTAGACATGGAAGTAGCCTAACAGAAACTTAAAACAGCAAACCAGGATCATTTTTGTCTAAAGAAATTAAATCCGTTTTTCTTAACTTTTGCACTTTTAGTGGCATCAGGCTAAAACTGCATTTCTCTTTTAGTTTCAAAACGTGGTATTGCTACTTATGTATACACAATGTGTCACTAGATTTCCGAAACAGGGAAAAAGAATGTAAAATCATGCATGCAAGCTTCATCAGCAGATTCATACTTACCTGTCCCCATGCATACATATTGTTATGAGTCTGTGAGGGATTTACTTTCGAAAGCAGGAAACGAGCCTTTAAAAAACCAAAACACAGGCAAAAAAATTAATCTTCTCAAATAGAAGCTTCTTGTACTCAGAAAAAATTACACATGTATGAAACATACCAATTCTATTATTTGGAGATAAAAATATGCACAGATAGCTATTCAGAAGAGCAAGTAGCACCTCTATAAATAAAGCCACTGCCTGGATTCTATACCTATATTTCAGAACTGCTAACGAGTTTTCAATGCACCAGAAAGTAAGCTTGTGTCTTTTTCTAAGCACTAGCAAAGCAAGTGTGAATTTCAATAAAATATTAATTAATAATTAAAAAAAAAAAAAAACCACAAAGAATACTTCTGGCATTGTTCCAGAGATCCTGACAAGTAATATCTTTTTTGTCTTACACACCACACACTGATGAGAGTCCAAATCAGTATGGTAAAAACAGTAATAAATAACAAGATTCACACATCAGGCAAAAAGCCACTGTTAGATATCTGGCTCTGTAAAAGCTTTAAAATTCAAATCTTTCACTTGCAATTTACATATATTTTAGCACAGAAATGCATGTTTACTACCAAAAAAATCTCATTACATTACTAACACATCACTTCCTAGATTATATAGTATCTATTTTCCATACCTGGCTTCCTCCGTGCTCTGTATCAATGTATCTGGGCATTGGAAATCTGGAATGGAGAATTTCTTGGGCATCATCTACTGGAGCTTGTAGCAAGTGATGAAAGTTTTCATATTCTGGCATATCTTGGTAACCTGATTTACGCCACTGAGCTATGGTCTGGGGACAGGGGAAAGAAAGATATTTAGAACTGATTCACCAATCTCTTAGAGGATACACAGGGCTTTTCAGAGAAGAATGTGCCACTGGCTTGACTCTTTTCTATCACTCACCCCTTTCTGCCCTACAGCATGCAAGTTGATTTTTAGAAGCCAAGATGTGCAAGTAACATGCCACTAGATTATTTTATTTTAACTCTAACAATTTGTCATCCTTCTGTTATTTCCTTTTTTGTCATCCTTTGTATGCTAAACATTTAGTTCATGAGGTCAAGGACACTTTACAGTTCTCTAATATGCATAAACATTTACACTGATTTATTTCTCAGGGCCTGTAGCATAGCCCTCCCCACGCTGTAGGAGTGAAGTGGCTGCTCAAGGTCAGCTCACTGATGCAGGCTCTTGTTAGGAAAGAGCTGGACGAACTTTCAGTAGGGGTTCCCCCTCCTTTGCTTGGCAGCCATTTTAAACTGAGACTCTCATTCCTTGCTCCTGCCTGAGCTCCACTGCGGCTGTGCCTGTACCCGGCCACATACCCCACTCATCTGGACCCCACCTGGGGACTTGACTACCCGGCTTGAAATGGGATCTGCCTCACCCCTATCAACCTGTGTGATGGTCTGGACTGGTGGCTGAACACGGCTACTGTCTGTAACCTGTTCCGCTTGCCTTGCTCAGGCAGTGTGGGGCTAGGTCCTCAATGGTGAGGCCTCTGTCTGCATGCCACCATGCTCAGCTCCCCATTCCCCTTCCCTCAGGGAGCAGCACACCCCTTCTGCTTCCTGACAGCATCTTAAAAAAATACAGAGAATTTTTTTTTTCCTACCTAAGAAGTGTTAAAAGTTTGGTAATTATTTCAAACAGTGAAAACAGCTGCACTATGAGGACATGATCTGGAACAATATTTCTCAAACTCTCAGCTGGGAACCATTTACAGTTGCAAAACAGTTAAAAACAGCAGTTCAATTCCTTCAGGGCAGCAGATCACTAGCAAGTCACAAGCATTTATACTTATATTGTTAGCCAATGTCTTATCTACTCAACTCCCAGCAGCAGTTTCATTCCTCCAGGACAGTGCAGATGGAGGGTGACTATAAAACTTGGTGTTCTGACTCCCCATCCCTGAAGAACTAATTCAGAGGTCAAAAATTAGTGAGTGAAAAGCAGAGCAGGGTGTGGGGAATAACACTCTCAAAAGTCAGAAAAATATTCTAAAACAAATAATCTGCATATTGAAGCTAAGTCATCTTAAAGTCGTCGTAACAAACAGCACTGAAATACCAACTAATATCAGGTATCTGTGTATAGGCATGTTAGGTTACCAAAATGCAAACATGAATTAGGAGTAAGAGTATCAGCCACGCAGAGGAGAGGTCAAGCACTGGAGTGCTTTAAAACTGCGGCTTGACTTTCACTCCTATAGAAAAAGAAATTTATGTAAGAAAGGAGAAATCTTACCTCTCCATGATAAATAAGGATCTGGAAAAAGGTGTCCATAAGGAGAATACGATCTGGTAAAATGCTGCTGCTATCCAGAAGAACAGGCTAAGGTTTAAAAATAGAAAAAAAAAATTAAATTACCAACTGATGCAGAATTGAGCAATCAAATGGCATTACCAGCTTTTTGAACCAGTCACTGAATCTTAGGAACTTTTTCAATCACCTACTGAAGATCCATATTTGATTGTTTTCCTGTTATATATCTGCAATGCACACAATCTCATCCTAAAGTTATCCACCCTGACTGTGAATATATAACTTCATGAAAGTAATAAAAATTGTATTCAAGAGCTGAAACCTCATTCATTATTACGCACTTTTCTAGTCTTTCAAGTACCTCTGTATTTACCTATACAATGCCATGAACTTGAATGATATTTCAACATACAAAGATTCAGTAGTTACATAAGATTTGGGGGTTGTTTGGGTTTTTTTAGTCTTGTCCTTGAAGCTATTATTACTGTGCATATATATCCACCAATATGGTATATAGTAAATACTCATGATTTATTAGGGGTACCAATATTAACTATTCCAAGAATCAAAAAAAAAGATTACTCATTCTACACTGAGGTGTCAGCTCCCACTTGACCATCCTTCTCCTCTGCATTACCCGCGTGACTAATTGCTATTTATACATGGGAGAATGATCTTACACCTGTGAGTAACTCTTCACAAACCACCTTTTCACTTTAAACTCCACTTTTAAAAGTCTTTTTAATCCCCATAACATAATCTTAAAAAAAAAAATCCTAACAAAAGTTATAATCCCAGCCTGCCAAGATCCCTGCCTACTATGTTTATTTCCACTGTCTTACAATTTCCTTCCTCTCTCTTATCTATCAGACTCCTTTTGTTGTCTCCTATCTTACACTTCTTTCACAAGCTTTTTGGAAGATCAGCTTTTTATTTTAAGTTTATACAGAATGTGACATAATAAGGTCCGCTGGAAGGTTCTGTACCAATCTACACATAATGGCAACCACATCAAAATCAGAAGCTTTGGACAAGGGCACTAAGATACAAGGAATTTTATAGATTTCAAAAAAAAAAAAAAAAAAACAAAACCCTACAACATTTCCTTCAAACTCTATAGAAAAAGTACATTTTGAAATAAAACCATTTTTGTTGATGTCTACATTCTGGCACCATAAAAACAAGAGCAAAACTCCTATAGCTCCCAAAAACTAACAAAAAAGATTACCATTCCTTAGTTAAAACATCATCTCTTGACAAACTGACTTTTGTTCTCAAGATTGCTACATCAGAATTCTGAGATATGTTTTGTTCATAGTATGTTCTGTATTAAATGAATATTCTTTCTCATGCAATAAATTTTAAAACAACATATTTTATAACATGTAACAGTGAGGACAACAATCATCTCTCTCAAAACAGCACCTTTTAACCTACTATTAAGTTATACAGAATGATACCTCTGGAGGTCCATTGAAAGAGTAGGCATAAAGAATCGGCTGAACCATGATAAGTGACTGGGTTAGATCCTGACGCATAAAATGGTGACGATAGTATGAGCTCTCATCTGGACTGTTATTAAAAACTTGTAAGAAAGGAGATCTTCTCAAGTGAAACATAAACTGCAAAACAAAAACCACTTGTTTGAACTTTCACAGATAAAATTGAGAGCTGTAAAAAGAGAGAAATGTTTTCCACAAACTACATGAGAGCAACAGCACAACAAAACTGAATTCCAAGTCCTCTGACATTTCTAACTTGTACATGCACCTTTGCCAGTTTTTATATACTCTCATGAGAGTAAGACAGAGAGATAAGAATGGATAAACCTCCAAAGCAGCTTTGAATTAAGATAAAAGTTTAGTATTTCTTCTCCAGTACTAACTGATAAATAGTGTGACTGAATATTGCCAAACCCTTCCTTTACCGGTTCTACTGTTCCTGCGAGGGAAGGTGCTGTGCTTGCACGGACAAGGTTAAGTTATAGCACATGAACAGAAAAAAGAACGTTAACCACAGCAAAGTTGAATTCTGTAAAATGGAAAAAGCAAATCGTTTCATTGCTGAGTCAATCTCTCCACATGCTGAATCAACTTCTCCACAACACTTAACACCTTGAGACAGACTGGTAGATAACTCGAACAGAAATATCATGGAAGCCTATGAAGAGTCCAAAAGCAACATATGAGGAGCTATCAGAATTGAGAAACTTATCAGAATGGATTACTAGCAAGGAAACTTCAAAATTTAATATAGTAAAGCTCAAGTTCACTTCACCAGTGAAGTGTTTCTTTTCAGGTCAGCATCATATAAATCATACAGGAAAGAAATCACAAAGCAAAACCGTATCTTTTCTCATATTTTCTGAATTTCTTCATTAAAACAGCCCTTACAAAAAAGTGTCATTATCTGAATTACAAACTCAGGTAAGATGAGGATTCTGTTACAAAAGAAGCAAAAACCACACAAAGTTAGAGGAAGTTTAGCTGTAAGGACCAAGGGCAAAAGAGGACACAGCAGCACAGAAAACAGAAGTGATTTGCCTAATGTCACATGCCAGCCAGTAGCTGGGGCAGGAGGTCTTTTAATTCTGGTACCGAGTGTAATGCCTTATTTTACTCTGTGCTACAGTGCCTCTTCCCTCACTAAGCATTCTCTCTCTATTCCTTATAGACACAGCTTCCTTATACTCACCTGTGGGTAAAGTGAAAACGTTTCTGAAAATCTGAAAGAGCTTGGATCATCCTTGTGATATTCTCCAAATTTCTGACACTGGAATAAAAGAAAAAGTTATCTAAAATAAGAAACATACTTGCTTGGTCATACCATTACTTTTGAAAACAAAAAAAATCCGTATGGTTTTCTAGATACTTTGACTTCTTTTTTTCTAAAAATATTTAATCTACAATATCATTATAGGCAGCAGAAAGTAGAGAAAGCTTTAATTTCTGCTAATCTCATGCTAGAATTTCTCAGTTGCTGGCAGTTACCAACTGCTGAGGACCGAAGAAACATTAATAAGTGAACTAAAAACTTACCTGCTCTTTTTTCCATTTAAAATAGAAAATCTTAGTTAATTCTGCATACCCACTTGTGGAAATGAAGCATTCAGTTAATTTTTTGTTTTGTTTTATTTTTAGAGAAACAATGACTCAACACGAGTCATTTAATAATGATATGTCTGGAGATAAGAAACCGATCTCTTTCAATATAGTCCTTTTTACCAGTCGTATAAGTTGTCTGTCCAGCCACCTCAGTACATCAGGCCCCTCTTCTGTCTCTGCCCTATACACTGCCAATCTAGCCATGAGTATCGCAGCAGCTTCCTGGTCAAAAGATGCAGCAATGTTTTGAATCTGTGTCTGTGCATCTGCCCAGCTGCAAAAGAAAAATACAAGTATTTGCATTACAGTGAAAGGAAAGATGTCCAACTTCAAAATACCCCTTCAAATTAAGGCAAAGAAAGCAGTGTTAGTTTAACAAACTCATGCTGGAGCTTCAAAAATCTACTGGGTGTAAATGAGCAGCCTCTCCGTTAACGATTTTTTAATTAGAAAGTTCCCTTATGTATAGATGCCACCCAACCAGTGAATAAAATATAATGCCATTCATAAAACAGTTATTATATAAAAACAAATACTAACCATGAAAGGTAAGTTAGAGAAAACAGTGCCCATGAATCTAATCACATATTCCACAGCAGAAGTTTTCTTGTGCACCTTGCCTGTTCTTTTCAATTTACAAGGTGAACTATTAATCTCTTCTTTTGTCAGTTGACAAGAAGATTTTACTAATATAACTAATGCAAGTTAAAAAGATACTCATATCAACAGTAAGGGCAATGCTTTTTTTGATAAACTGAATCTTCCATCAAATTAACCAGTTAATAGTCTCCTTCAGCTTAAAGGAACTGTCACTGGACACAGAAAAATGCCTGCGAAATATTAAACACCACTTTCTAAAATTCTTAAATTAATTGAATTAAGTAAGCTGCAGGTAAAGGTTATGCATGGAAGAACAGGTATTTACACACCCCCCCCCCAAACTGTAGCTAGCACTCTCAAGTCAAAGTGATCTTTGCTATTCCCTAAGTCCAACCATCTCCTCAGTTTAGGCCATAGAATTTCACTCAAAGCTTCCTCTTCATCGAAAATCATTTGGGTTACTTCAGAGCACATAACATCATTATACAGCCACTGCAACCTCTCAGAGAAGAAACAGCCAACAGAACAAGAGAGGCAACTGTCTCAAAAGTATGATCATGCCTACACCACCTGTGGCACTGCATATCCTAGAATAACAGATTGGTTACAAAATCTAAAGATTAAAAGACAAATACATATCCTGCTTTATTGAAAATGATTCATCACAAGCAAAACATACTTCCTGGCAACTGTGGTCACTCTGATACGTCTCTGTCCACTGGAATGCTGGTACTGAGTCACAAACTGGATTGCACCACGTCCTCCTTGAGGAATGGGAGCATTGTGCTAAATATAGGAGGGAAAAAAATAAATAGAGGTGAATAACAAGATCTTACAGTATAATTTGAAAATGTATAAACAAATTACTAGAAAATTATAAAATTCTTAGCAATAGGGAGCTCAAGTTATATATATGCCTGGGACTTATATAAATATGTATGTCTGGTGCTTTTACTATGTTAAGTACCTTACTAAACATGGTTAATAAACTTGGAGACTGTTAAGGGATGTTAGGAGCAGTTTCTGCCTCTACCAGATATCCTTAAAGCAACAAACGCATGTTCCTTCCACACAACTTTACAGAGACAATACTTTCAAAGGGGCTGCGTTACAATTGCTGATTTTGTTAGATTGTATTTGAACATAGAATCATAGAATCATAGAA